TATTGGGCCTTACATCTTGTTATGAGCAAAGACGTTGCGTTTTGTTTGGGCCTGTACAGATCAAGAGAGAGTAACTGCGGCATCTTTACGAGTCGCATGGATATTGAGTAAAAAGTAAAAGCTGTTTACGGACTCAGAGACAGTCAAGGAGTGTATGCTAGCATCCATTGAGGAGGTGGTAACGGACGAGAAAACCCAAAAAAGCATTACTGATTCCATCAAGCGGAGGAACTGCTGAATGCTGGCATTGTAAAGACAGGTCAACTAAGGGATTGTCACAGTGATTTTTCTGTCCTAAAATTAATGAATTGATTATTTTTAAATGCACTTTGAAGGATTTTGCCTTGATAAAGTATCTTGCACTATTATGCTATAATTCTATTCAGAGGCATACCGTTTTGTTTTGTATTTGTTAGTGCACCAGGAAGTTGTTTGCCAGTTAAATTAATGAAATTCTAAACAACTGATTTGTCTCACCTGAACTGGGTGCTGCACTTTGAAATACATTGTCTTGATCAAATACCATTCACTGCTATGATGTTGCAATTCTATTCTGTACCATACTATGCACTTTGTTTTGTTCTTGTTGGAGATACATTTGGTGTTGCCTGTTACTCAAATGAGTGCAATCTTAAATATTGAGGATAGCGACCTGTGAAGTTGTGTTGGTACAGTTATGTACAATTAAGTGCATGTTTTTCTGTTAGCTAATTGCATTTCTCTAATACTCTGTTAATATTGCTTGGATATTGCTCACCTGGTCTGATTTTTGAACATTTAACAATGTAACAGTCTTCGATGCTACAATGCCATGGGCTTATGTGTGTCAGTGTATTACAATTTGCATTGTTAGGCATTTACAAAATACAATATATTGATTCCATCAGTATGTTGCTGTGATTTCTTTATTCATTACTGCGATTACTCAAATTCTGTGGCCCCTTATTTTTCCTCAGTTTCATGAACTGGCCCCAGTTCCAAATTAATTTAATAGCCTTGTTATAACTGATCTGACTGAGTATCTTATCAGACAAACACACTGTATTGTCTGATCTGGCACCATAGAGGTGTTGATTAAACTTTATGGTCATTTTGGCAGACATAGGTTGTTATACTGACACTGTTTCTATTATTTACTGTAGGCTGCTTAATTAAAGTGGGTCACTGTTTTAGACACCATTAATTTCAGCTAAATGTGCAGAATGAACTATCAACAGCATATACACAATATCCTGAAGTAAAGTACAGCTTTTACAAGCAGATACAGTTTGATTCTCCTGAAGTCACAACACAAAATTCAAGACTCTGTGCTGAGAATGTGTCCTCGGTGTGCTCTCAAACTCAAACTGAAGTCGCTTTGTCCTCACTCCATAACTAAGTCGTGAAAACACTTGTCGGACTCTGTGTTGCTGAGAGGGGAAAGGATGCTGCTGTCATTATGGAATTAACTATATTTACACACTGCGAATGTTTACAGACAGTTCTCCATCCTGTTGGAAGTGAAAACCGTTAGAAAGTCCAAATGAGCCTTTGGTATAATTCTCTTCATTTATGACTAATTGGAAGCATGTGGTGCTCCCGTCACACCGTGGGCCCTTTTCCTGTCCTGTCCTCAGACTGCTGACGTCAAACTACCTACTAAAGGTATAAAATATGGTGTGCTGCCATGTGGTTCAGGGAGACGGGAAGTCTAACCAACTCACCTTCATGTTTCCTAGCCGTCTGGCTCGGTCAATGACCAGAAATTTCTTGATGAGGTCTCTGGGGAGAAAAAGAAACAAAGTCAGTGGATCTACAGCTGCACAGTGAGTCTCTCAAAAGTGTTCTCTCTCTTGCACACAAGGAAAAACTGTCACAAAATCCTCCCAGACCTGTCAAAATGACAAATGCATCCCCACCAAAGGTAGCCTGACAGCCAGCAAGAGGTGACGGAGGCGAGCGAAGAGAAATGTGCCCCTTTGACAATCCTTTAATTGAAGAAAGTGAGCACTTTTTTTTTTTATCCGAGCTGGAACTTTCTGAGACTATAAACCCGATAATGTGATGCAGGCATCCATGGGAGGGGAATGAGGATAATTCACAGACGTCTCAAAATGCCAGAGTGTAGACTTTCTGATGAAATTTGATACCTGCTGATGAACTTCCGATAAAAGTGCCATACCTCACATCCGATGAGCTGCTGACAGGCTCATAAACATGGCGGCCGGATGTTGACAAGTCAGTGATTTCTCAGTTTTTGTCTGAATTCTTCCTGGGGTGATGTGTCATATAGAAATATTTTAATCAGCTCCAGTGGGAAAATATTTGTATTTGTGCCTTTTTCAGAGATTTCATGGAGGGAAATTCATTCAGAAAGAGACGAAAACACAGACGAGAAGGGAGACAACTTTTTATTTCCCATGATGCTTGTCCATTTATCCTTCAAGTTTGAGGATTTCTATTTCAGCTCTTTTCAGTTTTACTGAATGCCATTGTCTCAGTCACTTATTTCCTTCTGTGCCCCTGCATGCTTGCAATTTTAACTGTTGGCCCCGATTGTGTTTATGTGCATATGGACGTACATATTGTATGTGGTTTTTTTTTGTTTTTTTTTTAAAGTATTGACTCCTATCTGCATGCCAAACTGCTCCTTTAAGACATTAAAGCTTCACTCTACTGTGTGGAAGCACTGGGGCTTTAGTGCCTTTCCTGAGTCTAAGTTCACAATCTGTGATTACATGAAGAGACACCAGACACTAAGACAGCCTAAATCCACACAAGAAGTGTAGCAAGTTCTCCAAGATGCTGAACAACCTACCTGCCAAGCACCTTGAAAAACTGCGTGCAAGTGTATTAACCAGACCTGGTGCTGTTTCAAAGTAAAACGGCACTCAGACTAAATATCGATTTCTTTTTTCTGTTCTTTCTTTGATGTCTATTGATATTAAAGAACTGTTCATGGCATTATTTTTGAAAGCAACCATACTTCACTTTGAAAACCTCTGCACTGTACTGTGTGAAATGATCCTCTCGAGCTTTCCAATATACAAATGGAGCATTTCAATACCTCTAGGAGATTTCATTTTGCATGATTGGTGAACACATTCTTCCCCATAGGGAAGCAAACGGTGAAACAGATGCTGAGGTAAAGCAGAGCGCTACAGGTTGGGTCGGGTCAGGTCAACATGTCCATAACAACTTCTTAAGTAGCAGCTGATTTTATGACTGATTTTTACGGTTTTCACTGCTGCGGTAATCCCTGGACACTTCTGCAGTCTGTCTGATTGTCGATGTTCAACAGCAGGATGCCTGCAGCCCTGTGCGAGGCCTTTCACTGCTTGATGGATGAGTGTGTGTGATGTAGAACGGTGTAAGAGTGATATAAATGGTAGAAATATTAAAAATCCCTCTGTCTGCTGGCTGCAAGATAGATGGCTTAACGGTGGAAAGCTGTGAGTTCGTTGAATTATCAGGGGAAGCTGTGGATCTCTGGAGCCACAGTGTCAGGACTGACTGAGGGAGTGAACGCACACACATCCACAGTGCACTGAGCCTGTAATCTTGCACATTCCTGTGCCCTCAAGCTGGTCTAATGGGCAGTGTGAGCGGTGGGGGAACCAGTCCAAATCAGCCAGGTGTGTCATTAGTGGCTGCAGGTCCACCTGAAGCCCCTCTTTAGCTCCAGGGAGCTCACTGACCATGTGTTGAAGGGACGCTGCAGCACTAAGAGACTCCATCCACGGGCAATATACCCCCATAATCACTTCAAGTATTCATTTAAACTGTTATTTGAATGGTTGAGGTCAGCTCGGGTGTGTTAGTCACCCTCGTTGGAGACACTAGAATATCCTGACCTGCCACAGCTCATCCACCTGCAGGCCAGGCTCGGCTTTAAACGCCCACCAGTGACGCTGCAGCTGAGGAAGCTCAGATCGAGTTCTTGGTGTTAGTTTTGTTGAAATCTTTAGCATTTTTAGTAAACTATTAAAGTATAGTTTGTGGATTTTTAATTTTTTTTTTTATTCAAAAATAAAACCCCCAAAAACTAAACAAATAAATGAAGAATTATTATTATATTCATATCTGAACTGCAAACAAACCCCCAGGACAGGCAAACCTAAATGCAAGTGGAAAAACAAGGTGAGCATTTTTTTGACATTTATTTAATGCCAGACTATTACCTGCACTGTCTGCTGTAAACATCCATTTCAGTTTACCATGAACCCTCTGAACCACTAAACCCGCCGGCGAGTTCGAAAGTAATGTTATTTTTTTCTTTAAATTTGCTGAAATGACACCATTTATCAGAGCCAGAAGCTGTAAAAACAGAGAACTACTCTTCTGTGATGTGCCATTGGGTCAGGAAACTGAAACAAATCCAAGATTTAAAAAACACTTTGCCAAAATTAAGGCTGTGCTTTACCTAGATAATGTCAAAACAAAAGATTGTGTACTCCTCAAAGCAGCCGTTAAGACATTAGCGACTCAGTTGCACCCTAAAAATCACACGCCAGGCCTTTTCTATAGCCGGTGTTTGGTTTGTCTGCTCTGGGCTGCTGTACATGGTGGGAAGAGGCCCGTATCTATATGTTAAGGGCTCATTCTAAGCTAAGAAAACAGTGATTTGTAGTTATAGGTGATGAAATTGTTAATGTGAATACTCGCCCTGCTCTGACAGCACCTCATTCATTATAATTAACTGTAAATTCCAAATTCATGTAAGAGTCCTTCTTTGACTGAGCCATCTGACTTCCTGTTGACTCCACATATGTGACAGTCATGAAAATTACTTACTAATGTGTTGACTGACAGTCTTGTGTAAAGTGAACAAGAAAACATCCTGTTGGGCCAATGAGAGGCACATAACACACCCATGTCTGCCTTTTGCTTTGACCTACACTTTAGCTGCTCATGCTCAGATTGACCTCCATATAAAGTAGTTAATCTGGATAAACTCTTCAATGTTTTTGAGTTATTTCTCTACTTCTAGCCACAGCAGTGCAGGAGTTTATATTGCAGGGGAGGAAATGCGCCCACAGTAAATAAAAAGGAACTAAGAAAAGCCTCAAAACTTGTAAAATCAACACTATTGTGGCTAAAAAATTGGAACCCTGATACTTTGTGCCATCAGAACAGCTCATTTAGTAGATTATTTGAGGTCTGTGGGTTGCAGATGCTCAACAGAATTGGGAGTTGGGCTCTTTTTTGTGTTCCTCGTGTCATTCCTGAGCTTTTTTTATTGTGCGGTGCTGTGCTGCCATCGGGAGGCACATGCGGTACGTGTCAAATTAACATCAGTATTGTAGCTGGATGTGTAAGTCATCCATGTTTACACACACACACACACGCGCACACACACACACACACACACACACAAATTGTTAGGTTGCATGTTTGACCCAAGCCTGATGTCTGGAGCTTACTTGACATAGAAATCCAGATGGCGTGGGAATTCCAGTTTTCCGGCCAAAATCTTCTGATAGATTCCAAATGGATTGTCATCAAAGAACGGCGGGTACCTGCGTAAAGAAATAAATGTCATCTCCAGTCTGCTCCTCTGAAGCTTCGTGTACACTGTCACAGAGTGCAAACCCAATTTGTGCTCTGCAAAAAAAACAGCATGATGCAAGGGACGGGTAATGCAGGTAAGAGCTTACATACACGCACTCACCTGCATTGGTCTGAACAACGCAGTGAGCAAACATGTGGACGGGTCACCGTTTAGACTGGGGGAGGGGGGGTTTATAACAGAGCAGTCTTTGTTCACAGCTTTTGGAGATGATTCGGTGTATGTATGTGTGTTTCTACCACCCACGGGCCTGCTGCTGCTGCTGCTGCTGCTGCTGCATGCACTCCACTGAACACTTTCCCAGCTCTCCTGTTCTTCCCTCTGCTTTGGCCTGGACAAGTCATTACCCACAAATTACATAATGGAACCAGCCTCTAAATGCATTACGGACGGAGCAGACAGGCGCATAATCGCACCAGTTTGTCACACGCTGCTTGCGTTCCCAGTGAAAAGCTCCAGAGTCAGGAGACTGTGGGTCTGGGAGCTAGCTGTGCACCGCAGACTCCACTCGTGCATTTTTTTTTCTTCTCAAAATTGATGCTGTCATAGCTGAGGAATCTGGGTCAGTATAGCAAAATGCAGGGAGGATGACAAGATATATCCATTTTCTGACTTATTTTCTAGACAACAAAGTGAAAACGAAATAGAAAACACAGCAAAGAGGCATTAACAGTTTATAGTGGAAACTTTAGAATGGTTACCTCACTGTTTGTTATTATCTGGATATATGAAGGCAATCAAACTGTATCCACAAAGCCTCCTTTAACACCTCGCAATGTGTTAAAGAGGGGTTATTAAAGATTTACACAACAATTTGTTCTTGTGCTATCAAAGATGGCGTTTACAGGTTTTTAATGCCAGCATTTGACTACTTTGACATCTTTAATTCCAGTTGACGGTCTGATTTAATTGACTGAGATGGGTTTTAGATGTGGTATGTGAAAGACGGGGGCTGGTTCCAACAATATGGGCAGCCAAAGAGTAGCACATAATGATTAATGCTTTAACAGCCCTTGTCAATGTAGCATGAATCACTGGCAAGCAAAAAGCTTTTGATGACAGCAAAAACAGTTTGGTGACAACAATGTCACCGCTATGCTTTATTGATATGAAGTACCAATTTATCACAAAAAATACCACCTTATTCTGTTGTTGTTTTCTTTTTTTTTTTAAAGCAAATGCATCAGTGGTGAAGTTGAGTGACATGATGGGCTGAGAATATGCAAGGCTTCTATCGGTGAACAGCAGTGTCCACCTCAGTGTGTGTTGTATCCAGCTGACATCAGTCCCCTTGTTTTATGGATTTTGCATGCGCTGACCTCACTTCCAGCAGTAGCCAGTTGGGGATTCTTTGGAAACAAAGACCGAGGTTCATACAGGATCTTTCACAGCTCATTTTACTGGCGAGCTCTTGTAACATTTATCCTACAGCCAAGTGGCTTATTCTTTTCGTCTTTTAAACTTTCTTAGAGACAGTAATCCACCACAGTTTGCTTTCTATTCTACTCGCTATAACTATCAATGTATTTATCAAACACCTGTCTTCACAGCAAAACATACAACCAAGATTTGCATTAAAAACTTGATTTGTTGGAGATATTCATGTTCCCCTGAGGATGATTTCTAATGATGTCCATTCCAAACTTTACTTTGGTTCTCCTCTGTGGTAGCAAGAAAGGCACCACTGCAAACACCCAGACTGCACCAATTTACCACGATTTATCAAAGCAGTTTTTAAATCATCGGAATTGGCAATAACCTAAAGTTGATCCTTTGTTTATGTCGCATGGGTGTTGTAAATTTTGCATTTTTCTTAATAAATGCAGCATTATCAATCAATAATTGATTAATTTATAAACTGGATAGAGGAACACAGTCTCAGCTGATCCCGGCTTAATTAACTACATGTGAACTAGTCAGAGGTCATCAATGATCACAGAACATTTTGTCATGGTGGCCCTTTACTAGCTAAGCACAGTATAAAACAGTAGCCTCCACCTGGTAGTGCAAACACCTACTTTAGCAAACTACAATGCTTGATGTGTATCTATTATTTAGGAAAATGGGATGAGCAGATACTGAATATTAGATGGCTCAGGTTGGATCAGGGGCAGAAAAACTTGATTGCCATTTATACACTTCAGCTTTTGTACAGATTAAACAAAGAACCTAATTAACACATTAGTGAGCACTGGATAGAGCATGATTCATGGATAGGTTCCATTTTGGATCCAGTTCTTGGGTGGCAGAATACCCCCAGACTCTAACAAATCTCTGATCAAACCTTTCATCTCTCCTCACTCTTTTGATTAGACTAATGGAAAGCATACAGGTATTAGTGCCCTAATTTAGCTGAATGTCACTGTTGCAGGTTAAGATGGCGGTACATGGGATCAAATGCACAACCATTGGTGGGTTGTTTTTGTAAACCATCATGTACCAACAGAGCGGTGACTTCAACTTAAACTTTGATTCACTTCAGATCAACAAATGAATCAACTTCATAGTTTAAAAACAGATTCATTGAATGTGTCTGATGCATTCAACTGATATTTCATATATTTGGCTGTGCATCGCCATTTCAGGTTGCAGGGTTGGTTGGCAGGTTGGGCTAAAATCTGCAGTGATTATGCCTTCTTAGACAAGGAAAGGCTGATTAGACATATTTTATACCGTTAGCCTTTAAAAACAAAACCCTCGGATGGGTTTGAAAGGCACGACATCACATTTATCAGAGCCAGAAATTGTGAAAACAGAAAGAACTGCTTTAGCAGGTACTTGAACCAACCATGTATCACTTTAATTAATCAAATCAACCAAATTTAAGCTTCCAAGTTTGTTCAAATTTTGTATAATAATTCAAACTTTTTATTTGGTTCAGATTTATGACATTCTAACTTTTCTCTACCTCTAGCTTTGGTTGTGCCGTTTCCACAGAGGTGCAGGAGTTTATAGTGCAGCAAAAAAATGATCTCATGGTGAGTAAAAATGTGAACGGAGCAAATAAATGACAGACACTGTCTGGGGTTCAGAGGGTTAACTTGAAGAAACTGTCAGTGACAAATTTCTGTAATAGGACTCCAGAATCTCAATTTCTAGCCACCAAGCTGACACTCCATAGAACAGAGGTGGATGGAGAGCCACAAAGAGGTGAGGAAACAGGAAAGGGGTCAATTTAATTTTATGCAGTCAATCCAGGAAATTCAAACACATTTTGATGAAAATTCCAAATTGGGATTTGTCTTCGCATTAAAAATACTTTCTGATGCAATTTATTTCACGAATTAGCATGCATTGACCCTGGGCTATACTCTCAGGCCACTGGGACTGACAGAACCACTATGTGTTATCACTATCACTATATGTTGGCAGGCTTTTCTACAAACTGAAACAGGTCTTCGCCTGGGAGGTAAAGAAAAATACAGAAGGCAGATTTTCAGCGTGAGAAGAGTCAGGCTTCATATACACAACCACATGGACAACTGCATATACACACAGGATGATTGGTTTCCATTAAGACCAGAAATCTGGCCCTGAAGGCAGGATTATGGAGGGAAGACCCACTCTTTTTCTTCTGCTCTCTCTTGGCTTCCTCCCTTGGGGGCCCTGACCTCTCATTGAATGTTTTTTCAACTTGTGCTTCACCCCGACAGACAATAATCCACCGCTGCTAACTTTTTCGAAGCGGCCGCTACATTCTCAGATCGAGACCTCTGATGGACGGGCAGCACAATACTGCAAGATGAAGAGAGCTTTGTGTCTGTGGGGTTTTATAGTAGCGCCCCCCTCACTGGATGTGTCTGCTGATTTGCTGAGGACAGCACAGCGTCCAGTCTCTGGCAAGACTGCAACACTTCAAAGTCTGCCCTGATGAATACTGGGAAAAGGTCACATTCCTTCCACAAATTCAAAGCCATGTAACTTTTCCTACCGTGGCATAAAGAAGATGGATGGAAGGGGCGAGGGCAGGCCAGGCTCACACACAGGCGACCTTTTAGTAGGACTGGAGGAAGGTGCTCCATATTCATGAGTTAGAGCAGTAAGGTTTAACCAAAGAATGTATATTTATCTTAAACAGGATAGGTAGGTGTCACTTCACTGGTCGTTAAGACACTGTCAAAAGGAAAACCTCTGAATGAACCTAATCTGACGTGACACTTATTAGATTTACCACAATAGGTGTTATTGCAGACAGTTTTGGTTCTGAGTGAGAGTCGAAGCTAGCAACTAGATAGAAACAGCAATAAACTAAATGATAAATGCTTAGCTGCTTGTAGGGACAAACTCGTGTATAGACTCAGCACTTGTTTTCAGTTTAGTGGCACTTATTAGCATCCTTTAGCTTCTTTCTTGGATTGGATGGCACATGGAGGCCGGTTCTCATCAGGTGATAGCCGGTGCTCTGGTCACTCTTCTTCTACCTTTAGGTTGTACTTGCTCTCTTAATTTTATAGGAATCAAGGTGAGCTCATTCCTTTATCCTTATTCATTGTATTTATGTGTCTAAATTTATTTATGTGTTTATTAATGTTGTGTTAACATTAAAACTGTTAGTTGTGAACCTTAACAAATATGTAAAAATGGTTAAATTCAAATAATCCTAATTGAAATTGCACAATAGTTATAGGTATTGACTGAAAGAAACATTTTACTGTGATCCATTTTTTAGATAAAGCATCAAGGATGTTATATTAAAAAAAAAAAAAAAACATGAGGTAAGAAAATTAAAAAGAAAAAAAAAATACAATTCATTCTACAGAATAAAGAATAAAGGAGAGGATGGCAGACTCTAATATTAGCTTTGTGTCAATTGTCAGCAGGCAGGTGTTTTCAAAGAAAGGCTGTGATAGCAAACATTCAGTCTGGGGATGTATAAAGAGATTGAAAAAGTCAAAATCAACAAACGCTGGAACCACCTACCTAGGAGTTCAGGGGATTCTTGGGTTTGTTGGGTTTTTGAGTGATTTTTTTTCAGGTCACAACTAAATTAAGCAGGTTAATTGCTGTATAATAAAACTTAACACTGTAGGATCTTAACCTTAGAGCATAGTTATTCTAGCCTTGTGCATTTTATAGAACTTTTGTAGCGTTTTAATCCTTTAAAATTAGCTCAGGAAAATTCTCATTATAATTAGCACTGTAGTGATTAAACATTAATATTGCCAATTGTTGGGTTAATTTGTAACGCCAGTTTTATTTTTCTAGTTGAAAGCACTTTGATCGAACAGCTAGTGCTTTAAATGTGTTATACAGATAACAATGACTTGACTTATCCGTTAAGCAGCTTGAAAAACTCTGCAAGGGTACCGTCTATTGATCTGATTAAGTTTTGTCCACTTCGCTGCACAAAAAACATTTATGGCATTATTTTGGAAGCTGTTAGTGCTTCAAAGTTTTGTGCTGTACTTTAAAACAACTTTGGGGAAACTTTAGCCACTTTTAAAAAAATTCTTATCTTGCACATGAATAGAGTGAAAGATAAAATTATAAAAGCTATTAAAAATTGTCAAAGAATACCTGACGATATATAGGCAGGCCCGAGCTATTCAACTGCTGCAATTAATTAACTGCTGGATTAATGAATGTCACCTGGTGTGTCCCTAAAACAAAATCTCAATCAATCTTAAAGTCAATCTCAACCCTCGGGCCTGTTCTCAGAATGCCAACAAGGCACAGACATTATTATTCACTGCGGCCGACGGAGCGCATTAGAATAAACCGGAGTGCTTTCTAAAGGGATCAGCGTCATTGTTCTTCATCTGCTACAATGATTCCCTTTCACAGATTATTTTGTCGCAGCTCTGCAGTGTCCAGTAAGCACACAATGAATAGATTTCCCACTCTGAGACAATAACAGCAGCGAGATTAATTGAATAATTCCTCTGCTCCGTGAACACAGGCACCTCCATTGCTCTCTCACTCGCTTTCTCTTGCAGGCCGGCTGTGTTGGATTGCATCACTATTGTGCAGGTGTTGATGTTTTGTGTCCACCCCCTGCGCGTCTACACGATTGTCTTGAAAGATTATTTTCAAGTTTATTTCGGTCACGTGGAGGAGGGCTCTGTTTTCACTGCCGAGCCTTCGCAGAGGTATTTTTCTTCCACCTGTGTGTGGCTGGAACATGAGAAATTCTTTCTGTAGATTCTCCTCTGATCTCTCAGACGGCAGATTTGAACCTCTCCACACCGGCAGCCCACGTTACATCAACTCTGTGTCTTTAATGGTCAAAGCGCCTGACTGCCTTTTAACAAGCGTGTATTTAGTGCTGCTTTACCTCAGTTGCTCTCTTGGAGGAGAGCGCCCCCCAGTGTTTGAATCGAGTGAGGAGGTGTTCGCTGTACACGAGGCTACTACTTACCCAGCCAGCATTTCAAAGATAAGGATGCCCAGAGCCCACCAGTCCACAGCTCGGCCGTGACCTTTGCTTTGGATGACTTCGGGAGCCAAGTACTCAGGAGTGCCACACAGGGTCCAGGTCCTGATCAGACAGAGGGGAACACAGCACATCAACACACTCCTCATATGCTTAAATATAGCAACCTCAATGTTTAAGGGCCTTTAATCACCCATTTCCATTTTTATTGTAGGTTGTTGGTGAGCTCTCTTTACAAAAGGCTTCATTCAGCACTGAATCCATTCATCGTGCATCTCAATCCATTTCCTGTGACCTACTCCCATCCTAGTTTAAGAAATTTAGAAGTCATTTTAAACTGAATGTTATTTAAATATCAATTATATACACAGGTGATTTGGTTATTTATGTATTTTTAACTCAAATAAACCATTATTGTTAACCCTCTGTACCCGTCGGCAGCTTTGAAAGACATCTTTTTGTTTTATTTTATTTTTTTTACATATCACCAAAATGACACCATTTATCAGAAAAAGAAACCGTAAAACCCGAAAAGAATCATTTGATTTTCAACATGCTGACACTCCTTCAATTCTCATCTGTGACATTCAGTTTTATCTGGAAACCAAATCTCAGCTTAAAATCGTGATATTTCATCAAAATAGCTTCATTCTTCATGTGCTACTAAGTGTTTTGTAAAATCTTCAAAAACAATATTTTTGAAAAAATAAATAAATAAAAAATTACAAAATATTCTGCACTCCTCAGTGCATCTCAGAAGCTGTGACTGACTCAGTTGCAACAAACTTCTTGGCCAAATTAGTTAAAATCCCAGGAGACAAGTATGGAAACAAATGAAAAATATAAGTAGCTAAATATCTTTCGTACACATTTTCCAGGATTAGTATTACCTGTGGGCACTTGGAAGAATGGTGTACATGTTGATTCCAGTTTGTTTTCTGATTAAATTTGAGTAAAATCTCTATAAAACAAATCATTTTCTTCTTTTATATGATTCCTGTCATTACAGCTGTGTTATACAGCAGGTACCAGGTGTTCGGATGTTACAGCCCATTCAGTATGAATGTATATGCTGTTAAACTGAACACAGTCCTTCCAAGTATGCTCCAAGGTTGGAAATCGATGCATTTATCTCCTGAGCATTATCAAGCATTTTGATAATTAACTGCTTCATCAAACAAAAATCAAATTTTATCTGGTTCCAGCAGTCCAAAGTAAAGATTACAGAAAAGATGAATAAGATGCAGTCCTAGTTTGAGGCACTGAAGATGGAGATTTTTTCCATTTTCCTGACTTTTACTGTTATAAATAGCTCATTGCTGACTGTGCATAATGCAAAAGATGTTCTCTCTTTTCCAGTGCCCTCAGACCAAAGACAAAAACATTTTGCACACCCAAATCTATAATCGTTTAATTCTGTTTTTCTAGTTTCTATGTTCAGCAAAGGGGAGTAAAAGACAAGAGCAAATTCAGCAAGAAAAAAATGGATTTAAATAAAGTGTTTTAGGAGAGATTTCAACAAAGAGAAAAGTTGTTTTTGAGAACTGAGGATGCCTGGAATAATGAGGACACATCGACTCTACTGGAGGATCTCAGTCTACAATCAGGCTCCCATGAGGTTAACAGGAGCCAGTCTGATATGTGATCATTAAAGTTTTATATCATATATAGGCAACCGATGCAGACACAGTCAAATCTGGGTTCAATGCTTGTAGTTAGTCCTGTAGTCAGAAGTCATCAAATTGTAGTCTTTCAGAACATGTCTTCACTGAAGTTCATAAGCAATGAGTTTCAATCCACTGCACCGTAGTAGTAGGTATGTTAGCTGCTACTATTGTTCATATTGTTGTTTATTTTTATCTTTTGTAGAGTGCATGTGCAAAATAGACGTCTTGTTCCCAATACAAAAAGTTTCAAGGAGCTTGTCTAATCTGCAGCTGATTCACTGACACTGTTAAAGAAGATCTGGCCCTTCTGCAAAGTAAAAAACACAAGCATCTGCCACACTGTCAGTTATTCGTCTGTAGGTCATGTGTACATTCTTTGCTGTTTGTACAAAGCGAGACTCCAGCCGCACGGGGAAGACAACACCCCCAGGTAAAGTGATCTGCTCGTGCCATCTGACCCAGCTGGTTTGGAGTACTATGAGGATATGGGACCCTAGTGTGGACGCGGGGGTAATGGATCTGCGGCCGGGACCAAAGCGTAATGAGGGCGAGAGTCCTGAACAATAGGTGAGGGATGCGTGGTGAGCGTAAGTAATAACAGGAAGTCTAAAGCAGATTATTTGCTCCTGGATGTTCGGCTGATTGACAGCGTGTTGCATGTGTAACAAACACACACGCCGTTCTCCGCCAAAGCCACTTGTCCTCTGATGAAGAGCACTTGGCCCGGCGCCAGCCTTTCATCGTCTGTCACCGATATCACCTGGGTAATGACCTCTTTCGGCCAGTTGCCATGGCGACGGCAATTTGTATGGAAATGATGTCAGGCCCCCGGTGGAGGATGAGGAGGCTGCTGATGTCGGGGGAATAAAGCGTCGGGGTGCGGGAGGCGTGGCCGCGGTGGAAACAAGACACGTGTTGTTGCTCTTTACTGTGTCATCATCTCCGTGTTTGAGTTATGCTGATAAGTGCGTCGGCCAGCAGGGGACACTGTGGCAGCATGAGGGAGAGCCGGGTGGTGACGGTGCTCCATCATGTCCTGAACATGGAAAGTACAAGAGAGCTGGTGGCAATGAGGCAGTTGTCTTCCTATCCCAGGCAATTCTGCTGCCCTCCATTTATATAAGTGGGTCACTTGCACATCAGAGAGGTATCTACTCCCTGTCTGTTTTGCTTTCGCAGTCTGGGGGAAAATGTAATCTTACTCCATTATGTTTACATGTCAGCGGGGGTCATCGCAGCCGTGGGTGAAACGTCGGGGAGAAACGCTGCAGCAGCGAGACTGCAGTGCAGATATAAAGCTGTCTCTCCTCCTCCACTGAGCATCTTTTCAATTCTGCTTAGGTCGCTGGGAGGCCTCGCTTACTGTATATCTAATTCAGACTAAATGACACCAGTTTGTCCTTCAGTGGCACTGCCATGGGTCTGTCGGAGTTGGGAGGATTCCCTCAGATTCCCAGCAGAAGATATGAGCTTTTCAAGGACACTGAACTACCAGATGTGTCCAAGGTAACTAAACGTCTACATCAACTATTTAAAAAGTCAATCACGTATGAGGTAATGGGCCAGACTAATTAAACACTGCACAGAGCTTTCATCCTGTGTGGCAATGTGGCTTTGCCATTCAGCGAGCGGCATGAGGCGTGTGGGTTCAGCATACTAGAAACAAACCGGGATCACATTTAAAGTCAAAAGTGTTTCTACCTGTTGTGAATGTCCTCACTCAAAAGGAGGAGAGAAAAGCCTGCTATCACAGCCTCATCCTGGCTTCATCACACTGTCTCCCTGATCTCTCTCCAGCTAATCAGTGGCTTTTTTTTGTGTGCATCTTTGTAGTCTTGATATGATAGATTATGCAAATGAAACACTTCCACTGTAAGAGCCAGAGGAGAAATTTAACAAACCACTACTACTGGCACAGTCCCCATACAGAAATTGTGTTTCAGACACTCTAAGATGGATTTCATTTGAATCCTTCAAAATGCCTTTAGTGGGGATTCAGCACTAAATAAAACACAGCAGGGGGGCTGAGTTGGTGGGAGCAACATATAAATCATCATCATCTGCCATGCTTTTTGTGCACGGCTCCTTGCTGGTAATTGGCTCCTGGTCTTTCTCAGGCTAAAGAAATGACGGACTTCTAGAGCAGGATGACCATCAAACTGCATCCTAATCATCTAATCACATCGATCAAGATATCTTGTACTACAATCAATAGACTATAAAAGGTGAAAGTCATAAACGTGTAAATATAATCGTCAACTATTCTAACAACCAAATGTGTTAAATCCTGACTGTGAAAATAAACGGACAAGCACAAGTTGTGTTACAGGTTAGAGAAGAGGATGTGACTTCAGTGTGTGGGTACTTCTTGTAGTACAATATTATCGATTTTTTCGTATCCAGCACCTACGCGACACCTACTTCTGTGGATGTTCATGCAACTATTCTTACTTCTCCTGCTCTGTGTGACCTACATATTCAACTGTGTTCAGTTTGATTTATATAGCGCCAAATCATGACACGTCATCTCAGGGCACTTTACAAAGTAAAGGTCAAGATCCAATAGCTGTCTAAGCGCTTGGCGACAAGTAAGAAAAAACCTTCCCTTTTAGCAAGATTTTTTTTTTCTCAAAATCACAAAAATGGCACCATTTATCAGAGCAGGGAAGTGCAAACATGGGAAGAATTTTCAACTGTCCAATGATCCTTGAACTAATCATGTGTGACTTTGGACTTGTCAGGAAGAACAACCGAATCTATCACTTTATTCCACATGGAGGCTGTGTTTCTACAGAGTAGATCAGAGACAAGTTTGGAAACAAATTCAAAAAACTACACTGACACAAATGTTAAAACTGATTATAGCATTAACAATAGCAATAATGTATTTTTGTGTAGTAGAACCTAATTTTTCTAATGCTGTTTGGCATTTCAAATCTGGCTTGTGACTTAATTTAGAAGTTGGGAATCACCAGTCAATATTCATATCAGAAAAATGTTCCTATTAAGATTGCAAAATTGATTTCAACCAGCCACAGCAGTTCTCCTCATGAGTTAGCCAGTCATTGCCTTTAAGTTAACTGACAGGTTCGGATCTTTAAAGAAAGGAGGGAAGCTCAGCCACCCAAACTGAAACTGATTCGAGCCGCCCCAAACCACCACAAAGTGCATCTGTGGCCTGAATATGAATACCGTGGGACAGGATGTCTTCGATGGATGTCTACCAAATCCAATTCCAAGTTTAATAACAGTTTCCACACTGTACACCTGCAGCCGTTGGTAAGTGCAGCCTGCTGAGCGCAGCCTGGGAGGGAGTAAATGTACAGTATGAGATCAGACGTACAGTGTAAAGTGACAGCTGCTTTGTCATTCACTCTCTACTGACAATCAATCAAGCATCAAACATCTCAAGCTGAGAGGCGAGTATCCCCAACTGTC